TTTTTCCGCGAGCTCTAGCTTGATCAGGGGCCGAACGGCAGAGAGGTTCAACCGACACCTCCCAGCCCGCGAAGGCTGCGCCAAGCACCGACCCGGAGCGGTGGTCGACAAAAGCAATTTGAAGTGTTTTCAAAGTAATATTAAGGCACGGGTTGAGTGGACTACCATTTCTCTCTCTATTTTTTTTTTTAGTTAAAAAAAAATTATCGTTTCAGGGCTGTGACGAAAAATAAGTGGCCTAAATCCGATGAGAAAACAGGATTTGGGGGTACCCTAGGTTTGGCTCCTTGCACGAGTTGCCCCCCCCCCAAAACGCAAGTCTGGATCCGCCAGTGTCGATGATTATACCTACCCCTCTTCGTAAGTAAGATCTCTATGGGGAGAAACAAAAACAGTTGCAGCATGAGGGCCAAAACTTACGAGGCTGTTATCCTTCCAGTCAGGTCCATATGTGCGAACTATATAGCTTCTTGCGTTAGCATAGGTAATACAACATGGCTCATTTGAATCTATTTTGAGTTGTGACCATGCGTAATAGCAATATCTTAGCTCTGATTCATTGCAGCATTTTGAACGTTGCGGTAAACTTGAACTTTTCCTAACTAGATTTATAGTACCTAAGGTGCGTAAGGCAAAACATTTCGTCACAAGAAATAAAGTCACATTCCTTTACGAAGCGAGTATGGATAATGGCACTTACGCTTAATTAAGCTTGACTTTGCTGAACTGTGCACAAGAAACGGGGAAGGGGGGGGGGGCGGGGCACCGCACTGAGTTCTCAGCTGATCATATTGGTCACAAGCGGGGCTGCATGTTTTATCTTTCAGACGATGGGCTTAACTTGACTCGAATCCGACTCCGACTTCACCGGAAGGGCGTTCCACGTCAACCGATAATAATGGCCATGGTCATGGCCATTTTTACCTCAACCCCTCCGATTTTTTACCAAAGATGGACAACTAATAAGCAAAAAATATATTATTCTTGTGCAAATTTGACGCCATGCATCCCAGAAACACATCACAAAACATTGGCTTTTAGCAAAGTACCTGCCAGCTTTAAAAGCTCCATACCAATTTGGAAACTCGCAGTTTTGCCCTTGACGTGATTTTGACGTGACCTACATCACATGGACAGAAATTTTTGTGCTTCAAATATCCGTTATAATAACGGATATTTCAACGGCTCAGTTAACCTGCGTCCTGCAGTGCGCGTGTTAACACGCGCACTGCAGGGGGGGCTGTTTTCAACCCCCTCTGGTTTTTTCACTGTAACTAAAAAAACAGTGAAGCTACGACTTTAAAAACTTTGTATAGCTGTTCATCAAACAATTGTACATCACCTCTGAAAAAATTAGTGCTAGGTCATGCAAGGTCAAGTCACCAGGTCACGATAAGTGACCTCACCTCATAAAAAGTTTGACGCTGTGCTACATCCACACCATTTGACTGAATGCTATGAAACTTTCAGAAACATATTAGGAGACCATAAGGAACATTTTGTTTATTTCGAAATTTTATTTCTGTGACCTTACGTCAGGTCACTTTTTGGGGCCCGGCATGCAATTTCGGACATAACTCGAGAAATATGGGGCATAGAAACGTCATTCTTTCACCATCCCGCTTATCTTATCAGGACGCGTCGATCAAGATGCAACTTGACCTAGTTTGGTCAATGTTTGACCTAACATGACCTCGATCTCAGGTCATCTGAGGTCACCAACGGGTTTATTTCAATAACTTTTAATTGAATAGAGATAGAGACTCCGTTCGACGTTTATCGTGTTCGTCTCGTCAATGCGGATCGAATGATATGCAACATGAACTATTTCGGTCAGGTCATGACCTTGACCTGAGGTCAACTTTTTAACTTGACCTTTCGAGGTCATATAATATACCATTCGATGCGCCTTGACGAGCTAAAAACGATGGTGTGTGAATTATTTCTCTATCTCTTTGGGCTGAAAGGTTATTGCAGAAAAAACATTTCCGGATAATTTGCAATATTGATCTGACATTACATGACCTCTATAGGCTGAACCGTTGACCTAAGGTCAAATCTGAGGAAAGCTTAGCAAAAGAGCGTTTCAACAGCTATCGAATGCTTTTTTTCGCAACTTTCTAGCTCATCTAGTTCCCGAGATAAAGCGGAAAATATGGAGGGATGTCGAGATCGCTAAAAATCGCAACATTTTGAGTTTGGTGACCTCTGCTGACCTCGTTTTTGACCTGACCCAAAAATGATCTGAGTATTTCTTGTAGATCTCATCTCAACCTATCCAACGCCGTTTACCGCTTGTCGCTACGTTGCACCGTTTTTGAGATCTCAGGGGGGGGGGGGTTTACCCCCCCCCCCACCTGCAGTTCGTGTTCGACTCAGACCCGCTGCAGTGCGCGTGAATGAATGGCTTTTTCCTCGAATATAGACAGTTTAAATGTCGAAAATGATGTATTTAGGTGAATTTTCGCCCTCAGGGCATCATCAGACAAGCAATTGGCATAAACTAAACATCAAACATCAGTTTAATGTATTTGATGTACATTTGATGTAAATACATCAAAAAATATAACAATAAATGGTATTTAAAAAAATAATTATAAAATGATGTATTTAGCTGAATTTTCGCCCACAGGGCATCACCAGACAAGCAATTGGCATAAATTAAACTGATGTTTGATGTTTAGTTTAGGTATGCCAATTGTTTGTCTGATGATGCCCTGTGGGCGAAAATTCACCTAAATACATCATTTTCGACATTTAAGCTTTCTATATTCGAGGAAAAGGTCATTCATTTTGAGTTATTATAACAATATGTTCCTCGCGAGAGCACTCAACACCATATCTTCATAATATCCGTCTTAATGAGAGTTTTTGAGTGCCGCGTTTGCCGTCTTTCTACCACCGTCGGCTCTAAAGTCTAAAATTAAATTATACGGGGGGGGGGGGTGCAGAGTCTGCCATTCGGGGCGCGTTTGACTGAATAACCCAGCCGGCACGGGTTAACCCGCGCCCTGGTGGGGGGGGGCTATTTTTTGCCCCCCCTCCAGACTTTTCGATATATCTCCAGAACCGCTGCGCCGATCATCACCAAACTTTCAGTACCCTCCCGGACATCAATTTTACATATTGTGACCAAAAATTTATCCAAAGGCTATGATTGGTTGGCCGGAAATGACGTCAGAGTGACGTCATGTTCTGCCGTTTTCGACCCAAAAAAGGGTTTCGCGGGAAGAGCTGTCAGGCCTATAGCTTTGCAAATACAGAAAAACGATAAAGACATAAAAGCTGTAGAATCGACAGGGCTACAAAACTTGCTATCTCGGATTTTTGAAATTTTTGGATTTTGACCCCCAAAAATAAAAAAAAAGATTTTTTGATTATAATAGCCGAAAAATCCAAAAAGTTTTTTGAATTTCGAAAAAACCGGAATATATGTGATAGTCCTTACCGCCTTCTATCTACATACCAAATTTGAGATCGATACCTCTTTTTTTGGCCAAGTTACAGCGAAAAAACTGTTCAAAATTGATGACGTCAAATTTTCAAACTCAATTTTTTTTTGCAATTCTAGACCTCGTAGCGCAAAACAAAGACCACCATTAGACTCCCCGTGATGAGCTGCATCGAATCAATACCCATTTTATGCAAAAATATCAACTTTGAAATTTGACCTTTTTTGACCTGACCTTGACCTGACCTCCACCAGAAAGTGGCCTAAGCCGTACCTGATAGTCTTATAACCAACACCATTGAGTTGGAAATGAAAAATTGGCCATAAAACATGCATCGCACAACCTTAGTACCTAAAGTTAGGTTCATGTGACCTGACCTGTGACCCTTGGTGACCTGACCTGTGACCTGGTAATGTCAGTGACCTCCTATAGCAATATATGTACTAGGCAACTGACGCCCTATCGCTGATTCTCGACAAAATGCGTTTTCTTCGGTGTTATAGCGCCTTCCCTAGATGACCCGGTACGGTGAAACATTTCATCTTTGACCTGACCTGTGACGTCATCGGTGACCCCGAGGTCAATGAAATTTGGTTTCCTTCGACAAATTTGACAGGCCTTTCGAACGCCGTTTGAATTTTGCGGATCCGTCCAGTAGTTTCGGAGATACGAGGGGGGGCAAAAAATAGCCCCCCCCCCCACCAGGTCGCGTTATAAACAGACCCCACCAGGGCGCGGGTTAATGGGTCTCCACAATGCCCAGAACAATCGCTCTATAAACGCACTTGCGCCACCTGTGCTCCCATCTGCCATGTGTGTTTTTGTGTGGTAAAAGACGCCACATTAATCCGAGGCAGGGTCATGGCTTCTTAACCAGGTTGTGTGTACCGGGAAGTAAGCGTTTCTAGAATATTGGCGGAATATGTTGACCTTAATTCTTACATAACTTAGCCGACAGATGATTCAGCAAGGGCTAAGTGAGATCGCTCTTCCTCCCCGACATTGTATGTGATTCAATTGAACTAGCGGCTAGCGCTGAATTGAGCGTTTAGCCGCCATTCAATTTGACTAGGAATTGCACCCAGGACCCCACTTACGAGCTCTGAGATCATCTTTATAGGCCAGGAAAGGTAAACAGCAGACAACAGTTTTTAGAAAAAATATCGATAGATAAATTTTAGAGCGATAGAAGTACATCGAAATGTTCAGACCATGCCATACGATGAACTGACTCGAAACATAACATGTTTTGGTCAGGTCGTGACCTTGACCTTGTAAGTTTTCCATGAAAACGGTCACTGTCATCTTAAATTAGACGTGTCTTAACAAGGTACCTAAAGCTACAGAAAAATAGCACACAATGACTGAACGAAAATTGTTTAAAAGCTTCATTTAAATCTAAAATCTCATTCGCCTAGCTCGATAAAAAAAAATCTAGCAGCCACAAGTCACAGCTCGAACGTCTTTCGGTCAGAACCATATAACACATGCCACTCAAATATAGGCTTCCGAGATAAATCAGCTATTTTTGATCTGAGATCCACACCTTCAGGGAGCGGCAGCCGGCGCCGCTCGTCGCGCCGCGTGATACACCACTCCACGTACGGCCATGGCCAGGCAGAGGAGCACGGTGACGCCTCCCAGCCCTGTGGCCAGCACCGGGAAGCCCCAGCGGTCCGTCACCAGCCCGCCGCCCATCGGACCAGTCATACTACCGAAGGAGTAGGCGGCGCCGCACAGAGACGTCACCAGCGCCTGGGCGCGCACGTCGCTCTGCAGACCTCGCGCAGTGGAGAGTCGCACAGCCAGCGGCAGCAACGGGACGTAGGCGCCCACTTGAAACACCTCGCGCAGCGTCATCCCCACGCCGAGCAGCAGGCGGGACGGCCGGAGACCGAGCAGCGGCGACGGAGGGATGAGCAGAATGCCCAGCGCGGTCGGCGATAAACAGCAGGCTTCAAGCAGGAACGTGTTGTCGATATAATCCGAGAGTCGGCCCCACAGCGGGCTGGAGAGCGTATAGCCGGCAAATGAGCCCAGAAAGAAGAGACTCAGCTCGTCGGGCTGCATGTCGAGCGTGTGCAGCGTGTAGGGCTCAATGTTCAAATCAACTGCAGTCCAATTCACCCCATTGAGAAAGAGGGCCGTGAAAATGAACCAGGTGTCCGCGCTAGAGAGCACCAAACGGAGTCTGTCGCGAAGATGCGACACTTCACCCTCCTCTTCCACTTGCTCGACCGAGTAGTCTGTCACTGTCGGCATCAGGAGCAGGCTGGCGGCGGCGTTCCCCATGAGCAGGGCACCAAGCACGTAGAACGGCGCCCCGTAGCCGCCAGCCGAGTATAGCACGCCGCCGATCGCCGGTCCCAGGCACAGACCCCCTCCGTACATACCCTCCACCAGGCTGACGGCCAAGTTCATCCGCTGCGGGAACTGGTTGATGATGATGGTTCGCCCCGCCGTCAGTACAGCGGCTGTGCCGACGGCTTCGGCGACGCGCATCGTCAGACCACCCCAGGAACGCTTCCGGCCGCTCCACGTAGACGAGCAGGCCAAACACCACCGTGGTGACGCTGGCCAACAGCAGACCGAGTCGGTAGAGCCGTGTCACATCGAACCGCGACGCCAGCCAGCCCATGGCCCAAAATCCTAACGAGAGCGTGAGCGCGAAACAGCTGTAAACAGAGCCCGATGAGGCATTGCTCAAGCCGCGCCGATGCGCTTCGTGCGTGAAGAACGGTACCTGAATGTACACGCAGCTGCCGGCGAGCAGACTGCTGCCGGAGACACACACCAGCAGTCCCACCTGACGCCAGGTGAGCGGTGTCGCTGCGCTGTCTGGAGGTTCTTCCTCGGTGGCCGATAGAGGTCTGTCGGCAGCGCAGTGGATCTCTCCAATGTTCAGCGAAAGGTCTTCGGATTCCGAGGTAGGTTTGACCTTGGAGTAGGTTTTTACTCTCTGCTGGGATGATAACTCGAGAAGAGGCGATTTCTCCCCGTCCGTGGTCCAACTCTTTATGACATTTTCGGATTCTTGAGAATCGTACATAGTTCTCGAACGGTGTTGTGCTGATAACCTCTTTGCGCAGCAGAACCAGAACTGGCGGAGGCGGCGGGCACACTGCTCATTAATCTGACTTTTCGCCGGATCCGCCACCGCGCTCAGCCGCAAGTGGCACCACATATGGGTGAGTCCGGCAGCTGCTGGGGTTTTCTCCATCCGTCACTTGCTGGGGGAAGGGTTAAAAGCTAGTGATGTCAATTACAGAAAATCGGAATACCGATACCAAACCATGCCAAAACCGTGAGCAAATACCGAAACAGAACCAACTTTGAAAGATGAGGGAAATACTAACTTTTTACCAATTTCTTAGCCTCTTATACATTAGTAAGGGTTCATAATACCAACAAAATACCAAACACATTAGGATTGAAATACCAAATACCAAGTTGGTATCGGTTTGGTATCGGTATACCAAAAAGTTGGTATCCGATTGACATCTCTATTAAAAGCCCCCCAGCCGATAATTCGAGAACCAAAAGCGCAGCGAAACACGCGAGGCGGCAAACGCAAGAACGCGACGAGACACTTTTGATGGTTACTTTGAAGTTGGAGTTCGAGGTCACAGGTCGGTTCAGGGTCAGGTCAGGCACCTGAAATTGGGCTTTCGGCGTACTGGGCGCCTCTCGTCATAAACTGTCAAGATTGCGCGCAATTCTTCAGCTTAGCAGGGCCTCGTCTAACATGTTAGCTGTGGGGGGGGGGGGGGCAAATCCCCGCAGTCACCGGCCTAGCCCCCCCAGTCAGGGTAAAAATGTCACTACTGGGGGGGGGGGGGGGCGGCAAAAGCGAAAAGGCAAACGAATTTTTACTGCAAGGCGTCAGTGCACATAAAAACAAATGCATAAACGAAACATGGATGCAATGTAAGCACATTGATTTACCTGATTAGGTACCTCTGATTGTTTTCACGTGTTTATTTTGTTTATCTGATGCCATTATTTTTTTTTTTCGCTCAGCAATACGTTACATTTCGGGTTTTTAGGTGACCTAACTCCGAATCCCGCTTATCCTTCACGCATCAGTCTGTTGTTTCTGTCCTCGGGGCGTCAAGCTGTTGTTTCTACCTATCGTCGTCCTCACTACGCGACGTCGAACTTCTGGCTGGACGGTCACCGGTGTGCGGCGAGAGTAGCTCCTAATCGTAATGAAGCACTAAGCAGGCTCCCATTCTGGGTGATCGTAAGCTAAGCTTGGTGGTCTGTCTCTGGGGACGGGAAAGACTGACATGATATTCGTGATCAGCCCCCCGAAAAACCTCATGGCAGCCGCGTTTTACGACGTTCTAACAGGTCCCGATTCTCCAGACTTTTTGGTCATTGACTTGACCTGCAAGGTCAACCAATGACCTAGGACCTTAAAGGGACCCTCCCACCTTCAAAAAGCTAATGAATTGGCATGAAAGTGATGTCGCTCGGTTCAGAAAGAGCGGAAACGAATATCTGCCAAATTTCACGGAAAAATATTCACCGGTTTTCAAGATATTAGACTTTTACTTTTGCTTACTTTTTGGATCTCTCCTGTTTCTAGCGACTTTATTTGGAAGCAATAATTTGGCAGCCTTGAAGTGCGGCAGACGTTGCGCGCAAAGCAGCGTATACCACAACGTGTTAACCCGCGCCCTGCTGGGGGGGGGGTGTTTGAACACCCCCCCCCTGTGGTTTTTCGCGAATATCTCAAAAACGGCGGCGCGGAGCGCCGCCGTTTTTGGTACACCTTATCATACATCAATTCTACACATGTTGTAAAAATTTCAGACCAAGGTCATTCAAGGTCAGGTCACCAGGTCACTCGAAGTGACCTCACCTCATAAAAAGTTTCAATGTCTGTCATAGCTACACCGAGTGACCGATCGCTTTGAAACTTTCAGCGATTGCTAAGAGCATTAGCATGTACAAAATGTATATCTCAGAATTTTGATATCGATGACCTAAGGTCAGGTCAATTTTGCGACCTCACCATTATAAGTCAATGAGAGAAAATTGAAATGCGCCTGTTTTGGACGAAAGACACTATAAACACTCCCAAACACTGAATTACAAGTGGTTTAGACACACTGAACATGAAAATGGTGTCTGTGACCCCTGTTTATGCCCTGAGGTCATCTTAGGTCACGAATGGTATCTAACAGTTTTTCGCAAATAACTTTTGATAGAGGCGTGCTAGAGCGATGAAAACGCCTTAGATGTGTTCAGCTCGACGATACGGATCGACTGATATGCAACATGACCCTTTCCGGTCAGGTCATGACCTTGACCTGAGGTCAAATTTTCAAGTTGACCTTTCAAGGTCAAATTATAGTTCGTTCGATGCGTCTTGACGAGAGGAACACGATGCCGGTAAAAGTAAGCTCGTACAATGCTTGGGTCAAAAGTTATTGCAGAAAAAACTGTTTCCGAAAAAATCGGCTATTTTTGCAGTTTTTGCCCCCTGCAGGCAAAACCGTTGACGTTAGGTCAAATCTGAGAAAATTGCTCAGAAAGGGCGTTAATAGGGCTATCGAATGCGCTTTTCCGCGGCGCTGTAGCTCTATTGGTTCCCGAGTTATGCGTTGGCTTCTTGGAAATTTTCGACATTCGACCTGGAAATCGGCGAAAATTTGCCTTCAATGACCTCTGGTGACCTGACCTTTGACCTGACCAAAAAATTGACTGAAGTGATTTCCTCATTATTTTTGACGCTCTTTCGAACGCCGCCTTCTGCGTATCGCTACGTGGCCCAGGAGCCGAGTTAGAAGGGGGGGGGGGTGTTCAAACACCCCCCCCCCAGCAGGGCGTGGAAATCCAGGACCCCCAGCCGGGCGCGGGTTAACGATGGTTTTAGTCTAAGATTTAAAAATGGATAGATCTCCGCTGACGTCACAAATTCTAAGGGGGCATTCCAATGCCCCTTAGAATCCAAAAACTGCAAGTTTGAAGTTCCATATCTCCGAATTAAAGCATTTTTCGATGTTGTGAGTGCCCACACCGGTATTTGCGGGCCATGGCCACCAATTTGGCTATCTCAAGTCTCAACTAAAAACTAGGTGGGATGGTCACTTTAAAATTGGGTGTCATCGGCTTCCTCTCGCCACGGGCAACACGCTCGTTTTTTCCCGCCAAGCTGTAGCTCAATCTGGGCGAAACAGCAAGGCAGGGGGGGTCTAACGGAACCCCCCCTTATACGTTCGCGGCTGAAAAAAAACACCATTACGGGCGAGGGATTGATTAACGCGAGGGTACTGAAAGTTTCGTCGCGATCGGCCGCTGTTTACTCGAGTTATTCGCGAAAACCGAGGGGGGTCCGTTCGACCCCCCCCCCCCTATACGGGCAAGGGTTAAGCATATGTCACGTTCAAGGTCAGGCCAATCCGGTAAATTGATTTCCTTGACTTTTACCGGCGAAATTCAGATGAGTTCTGTTAAAGCATATATTTTTTTAAAAGAAATTTTGTCCGAATGAATGAATGGGTGGCTATGGGCCCGGGTGCCCCGCTAAGCAGTGCTTGTTGCGAATGACACCACGGAACCACCACCCCCTTGCCGGTGCCCGGTTCACCGGTGACAATTTGGATCGAAAGTTTAACGTGCCGCAGGTAGATGGCGGCACGGTCCTCCCGGGTCTAGCGTGGCCCTCTCGCCAGTTGCCAGCTGGCTGAATGTAGGAACGCGGGTCAAACGACGTGGAGCTTCCCGGCCGCGAACTCACTGCCACCGAGTTAGGAGACGGACGCCTTATCCACTAGGCCACGGGAGTCAATATGTACATATTGACGGAGTTAGGCTGGCGTCATTTTTATTAGGTCGATTTCAAAAGACACATGCGTGTTGCATATTTACCTATGAAACGAGACGACATGCCGAAATCGAAATGTGAGTATACCTCTTCGAGTCGTTATTAAGGTACTTTATACATATGAAGCCACAAAAACGTTCTTGGCCACTTTCATTTGCCCTTATGACGTCAAAGGAAGGTAGAAATATCAAATTGTACCGATGCACTTTGGCAAACATTTTATTGCGTAAAAGTGACTATTATCACGTATGCAGAAGAAGCTCTAACGGTCATATTAAGTCAGGAGGAGATGGATATCAGGGGTGTAACTTTATGATATTGTCAGGGGGGCTCAGCAGTCAGCAGCAAAACTTCCCTATTTGGGATATCTGTACCTATTAATTCCGGGGCGTCGCCACGGGTTTTCGACAGGGGGACGGATCGTCCGACTAATAACTGAAACCTAGGTATTGTTACCGTATTTTTCAGGCCGATGCACTATCTGTCCAATGGTAATGGACCAAAGTCCTACACACTACAGTCTGAAGTCCGATTCAATTTGACACCGGTAACGGCACTAGCCTTTTGTCTTCTACGAGGTATGACTGTTAACCCGCGCCCCGCTGGGCTATTCAGCCATATACGCGCCCTGCTGGGGGGGGGGGCAGATTCTGCCCCCCTGTCTAAC